ACAGACAGCTTCTCCTGTGGAGTGGCTAGTGGATTTCAACCAACAACCTTTGGGTTAGCATTCGAGTCCTTTAACCACTGTGTCACCAGGACTCCTTCCATTAAACAGTTTTATTGAAAGTTGTAGCAAGTATTCGATATTTGTTAACTATTTCTAAATGAGGCATTGTGTGCGCATGTGTGTTTTCATGCATCACCTTTTGCCCACTGTGCCCCAAACAGGGAGCCCTGACAGTGTATTGGGTGACACATTGGGCTACTAACCAAAAGGTCAACAGTTTGAAACTACCAGACATTCCTTGGAAGAAAGACGAGGCTTTCTACTCCTGCCAAGAGTTACAGTCTCAGAAACCCACAGGGGCGGTTCTACTCGGTCTTCTAGGGCCACTATCGTTGGGATTGACTCCATGGCAGTGAGTTTGCTGTTGCTCTCTGTGCTACAATGGTTTCTCTGAGGTGTACTGGGGAAGGAATTTAGACTCACCAAGACTCAACTTGACCTAGACTTTAGATCTTGTCAATTTATGAAGATGGGCCATTATGAGATTTCCAGAGCTTCTCAGCTTACCTGCTGAGAATTTTCATGTCCACCCCAGCTATATTGAATTAGAACTGCCCTGGTGGCTGCGTGAGGTACGTGTTGGACGGTTGACTTCAAGGTCAACAGCTGGAAACCACCAGCCACTCCACAGGAGAAAAGAAAGATGAAGCTTTCTATTGCTGTGAAGGTTTGCAGCCTTGGAACCCCACAGGGGCAAGTTCGACTCTGTCCTGGACGGTTGCTGTGAGTCAGAAACGACTTGGTTGCAATGAGTTACATAGGTTGGACACCGTCCCCGAACAATTGTTATGTGTACGTTCTTCTAGATCTTCAGGTGATTCTTGTCAGCTGCAGGTTGAGTCAGAATGAACCAGTTTGGAGCCATGGAGATTTCCACACTGGGAACAGTAGCACCTTTCTTGGTCAGAGCTCAGATTTCCAACCATCTCTGAATCAAAGCATAGCCAAGGCTAAAAGAGTAACAAGGCTTCTGGGTAATCAAAACAGATACTACAAAATCCATGAACTGAAGCATAGGGTCTTTATACATATGCATATATAATAACTTAGGCTCTCATTTAGAAGGTGTCCACTCTTCAACTGCACATAATTTTAACGCTTGTGGATATTGGTAGAATCTCAGAGTCAATTGTAAGTAATGGCTTAGAAAACCCCTACCAAGCCCACTGCCATCAAGTAACCCTACAGGATAGAGTAGAACTGCTCCTGAGGGCTTCGGATCCTGTACATATTGATGGGAGTAGACATCCTCATCTTTCTCCCACGGAGCAGCTGGGGGGTTTGAACCACTGACTCTACAGTTAGCAGCCCAACACTTACAGGACAGTACCACCAGGGCTCCTAATGGCGTAAGAAGACATTGACGTTTTACTCCTTATCTTCTATTTGGAAAGGGTCTGGAAAAGTATAACATTTAGAAAGGATTCTCTCTAGAGGGAGTATAAGAACGTATCTCAGACACTTCAAGAATTGAACTTCTGGAAAATGTAATTATTCAAAAGTATTCAGTTTGTACAGCTGTGCTTTATATGCAGTTTTTCTCAACTGTGGTATCTAAATTCCATGGGGGTGGGTATTTCATTTGAGAGTAGAAATAAAATGACTAGCAACAACCAAAGTCCATGTCCTTTATTGAATCTAAGCTTCTAAGGACAACATTTAATACTGGTATTATAAGTAGCCATGAAAATAATCACATCTACAGCAGCTGTCATTGTTTAGTGCCAACTCTGTGCCAAGGAGAGAAGCCTGGTGCTGTAGTGGATTATGTGTGTTAGCATGCAAACTACAAGGTCAACGGTTCCAAACCACCAGTGGCTCTGAAGCAGTGGTTCTCAACCTTCCTGATGCCGCGACCCTGTCATACAGTTCCTCATGTTGTGGTGACCCCCCAACCATAAAATTATTTTTTGTTGCTACTTCATAACTGTCATTTTGCTACTGTTATGAATCGGGTGAGCCCTGTGAAAGGGTTGTTTGACCCCCAGAGGGGTAGCGACCCACAGATTGAGAACCGCTGCTCTAAAGGAAAAAGATGAGGCTTTCTACTCTTTTAAAGATTTACAGTGCCAGAAGCCCACAGGGGCAGTTCTGCTCTGTCCTGACGGATCACTGTGAGTCAGAACTGACTCGATGGCGGTGAGTTTATATGCCCAATAGTTTGGCTATATTATGACTAATTCTTATAATAAATTCAAGTCAGAGGAATTGGTATCCCCGTTTTACAGATATAAAACTGGGAGTTAGAGGTCAAGGAATTTACTCAAGCTTACTTAGGATTCAAAAATAAGTCAAGCTGGCTCCAAAGCCAGTGTTTTTCCATGACTGCCTTTTCTTTCTAGCAGATGAGAGTAGGTCTCTTAGCCCTTGGTTCACGGATGAACTGCCAGATAAGGAGAGCAGCTAGGGAGGTTAATCACCCACTGCTGCTAACAAGCAGCCCTATGGGCAAGAACTAGATCCTCTTCATGCCTATTATGTTGTCTCAGCTCCACACCATCCTTCTCGCAAACACCTGCCTCTGGGGTCTGGATTCTCAGGTCACTGGCTCAACCCGGCACTCAACTCCACTCCTGAAGAAATAGAGCAAGCCACAAAGGGAGGCTGTGGGAGAGGGTGGATGAAAAGGGGGTGTTTCCTTTTAACCTAGGGAGGGTGATAAAAAGGGCAGAAGGATTGTCTTTTACCATGAAAGACATTGTCCTTGTACTAGCTGTTCATCTAGTTTGCAGCATCGAATTTTACTTTCCCCGGAAACCTGCATTTACCTGTTTTAGATTTGTGGGAACAGAGATGGCCAGGGCACCAAAGGTCATGGCAGGGGCATTTTAAACAATGGTTCATAAATGATTGCTGGCTGCTGGGGAGTGTGGGGATGAATAAACAGCAAAGGAAGAGGTTGTCACAAGGTTCAGCCACTGTGCAAATAGCCCAGCCGGAGTAGAAAGTCCACCACACATCATGAGATGTAAATTGTGTGTGGCATTTTAAGTAGGTCCGGGGGTTATTCTTGCAGTCACTGTACGGTTTTTAGGATCATAGGAAAACTCTCGTGCACTCTGCCTCACCTCATCTTCCCAGCTTGGCTCTCTGAGATGCCTGAAATATCATAGCTAATGCTTCATTGTTTTTCCACAAGCCAGCAATTAACCACTGATGCAAACATTCCCGGGCTGCTAGTTCACAAGACCGTTACTTGTCACCTGTACCTTATTGGGAGCCACCAAAAGCTCCAAGGGAGAAAGATGAGGCTGTCTCCTCCTGTCATGATTTACGACCTTGGAAACCCCTAAGGGCAGTTGTACTCTGTCCAATAGCACCGCTGAGAATCGGAACTGACCCCATGGCAGTGTGTGTAGTTTGGTGGATAATAATGAGAATAAGTTTGGCAGAGAGTCATCTAGGAAGCAGTAAATATAAAAAGTCTTTGATAAGCCAGAATTTGTCAGATAAGTGTTAAAGTCCTTAAATACATTTTAAGTTGAAAAACAATCTTTGTCATCACCATCATATTTATTCAACTATTACTGTGTGCTAGGCACTGTTCTAAGATTTCATGACAACAAACCTGTATGTGTCAGCTATAATTATTAGTCCGTTTTACAAAGGAGAAAGATGAGGCACAGAGAGGTCAAGCTACTTTCTAAAAGTCACACAGCTACTAAGTGTCTTACCTAGGAGATGCACCCAGCCTGTCTAGTTCCAGATCTGCTGTACACTACTTTCCTCCTCAACTCCTCTTCAAAGGTATTGGTAGAAGAAGGAAGGTGAAAGGTTTGTGGTCATGGTTTTAAAACGATTACAACAACGATGCTAGTTTTACTCAAAACCAGTTCCTGACAAAACAGTCTACTTTGCTCGTGGTGGTCTAAGCAGCGGCATCGTAGGAATAATTAGAACAATGGCTACTCACTGCACTGTGGCGGCCGGACACTACACTGTCATCACTACCATCACCATCACCATCATGATCACAATCACTGTCATCATCCGTTGCAGGATTACCAGGCCCCATAAACCTCCCAAAGGATCCCAGCTAATCCGTAAAGCAGTCTTAGGGCTGGGTCTCACCTCTCCCAGTTTACAGAAGGCAAAACTGATACTCAGACATGGCAAAGCTGGATGTGGAAATGAACTCTGTCTTCAAAGTTCTGAACCACTTCTCTAAGTCCGCAACTCTAATAGTCTTTGTACCATCACCACCACCAGTGCGAGGCCCGCATAGGGAGGGTGGCCAGGGTGTCACTGTGTGAACTACGGCGCTCGTGCCAAACCTGGCCTGCTGCCTGGTTTTGTAGTGAGGCTCGATGGTGCACAGCCAAGTTCATGTGCGGACAGGCTGTGTGGCTGCTTCTGTGCTTTTGTGTGCAGAGTTGAGTGGTTACCGCAGAGACCATCCAACCTGGACCCTCTAAGTACTTATCATCTCACCTTTCACAGAAAAGGCTTGATGACACCTTTCTGAAATCATATGAAACCTTGCTGTCAAGTCGATTCCCACTCATCAAGAGCCCATGTGACAAAGTAGAACTGTCCCACTGGGCATCTGAAGCTGTCATCTCTACGGAAACAGCCACCAAAGATTCAACTACTGCACTGCCCGGGATCCTTCCCCCCCACCCCCCAAACCATTCTTTCCAGGGCTCCTTTAAACCATTTTGCAATATATTGTGTTCCCCATTTTATAGTTGCACATATTGGAGCTGAGAGATTATGGACCTTGCTCATAGTCACTCGGTAACTAACGACAGGAACCTAGCTACAAACTGAAGTCCAGATGACTCCAGAACCTGTCCCTTGTCCTCCCGAAACGTGCAGACGCCGCCATGACAAACTGCAGAGGGGAGGTTCTCCGACAACATCTGGTTAGCCCTTCTGTTCGCAATGTCTGACGGACATGAGCCTTCTCCCTCGCCTGAGACACGCTGGAGGCCACTTACCTTCGGAGGATTTGCTGTACCGGATTCCTTGGGGATGGATGCTTAAAGGCTTGTCAGCCATGTTCTTAAAGTGAACTCTCATGGTGTCTCCGGCTTCAGCATATAAAGTAGGCCCAAGAAGTCCTATGGAGACAAGAATTTAAAATATGGCTGTGTCCAGGATCACCAAAGACAGAGCTGCTGAGCAGGGAAAGCACGCAAATTCCCGACTGGATTGTTGTCAGACCTGCTGGGTCCCGAGTGGACCTGCTCATCCTCCCTCCAGAGGCTCTGCCCGCTCACCCGCTCCCTATGATTTGCTCAGACCAGGAGGAAGGAACGAGTAGAAACCCTTGACTTGAACCCCAAGCCAAGGAAGAGAGTCCAACACATAGTTCAGACCTCAAGCAGCTCCTTCTGACCACCAATTGTCTCAGACACAACTGCTTCGGGGCGAGGAAAGACCTGCTCCTTTTCTGTTTCTGCAGGGGGGTGAAGGGGAGCAGCTCCTTTCCATTCCCTCGGAGGAGGTGAGCATGGTGTAGTGGGTTATGAGTCGGGCCGCTAACCACAGGTCAGCAGTTTGAAACCACCAGCCTCTCCTCAGGAGAAAGAGGAGACTTTCTACTCCTGAACAGATTTACAGTCGTGGAAGCCCACAGGGACGCTGCGGTGCTGTCTTCCAGGGTCACTGTGAGTTAGAATTGACTAGAAGGCAGTGAGGTCGAGTGTTTTTGAGGAGGTATGATTTGATAAGAGACCTAAAGAAGGCAAGGAAGCAAATTGTGTGGGTCTCTAGCTCCCAGGTGAGTGCAAAGGCCCTGAGTCGGGCAGAAGTGAACAGATGGGAACAGAACAGTGAGGCCCCTGGTGTGGGAGGAA